GATTCGAAAAACAAAGCGCGCAAGCGCGCTTTATTAATAACCAGTGCGCTTATAACCAGTAATAAACGAAACTAACCAGAAATAAGCAAACTAACCCGTCCACCTAATGCGTACTAGTCCTTGTATGTTAATACTGGGTTCGCAAAACAAAGCGCGCAAGCGCGCTTTATTAATAATCAGTACACTTATAACCAGTAATAAACGAAACTAACCAGAAATAAGCAAACTAACCCAAACTAACCCGTCCACCTAATGCGTACTAGTCCTTGTATGTTAATACTGGATTCGAAAAACAAAGCGCGCTTTATTAATAACCAGAGCGCTTATAACCAGTAATAAACGAAACTAACCAGAAATAAGCAAACTAACCCAAACTAACCCGTCCACCTAATGCGTACTAGTCCTTGTATGTTAATGCTGGATTCGAAAAACAAAGCGCGCAAGCGCGCTTTATTAATAATCAGTACACTTATAACCAGTAATAAACGAAACTAACCAGAAATAAGCAAACTAACCCAAACTAACCCGTCCACCTAATGCGTACTAGTCCTTGTATGTTAATACTGGATTCGAAAAACAAAGCGCGCAAGCGCGCTTTATTAATAACCAGTGCGCTTATAACCAGTAATAAACGAAACTAACCAGAAATAAGCAAACTAACCCAAACTAACCCGTCCACCTAATGCGTACTAGTTCTTGTATGTTAATACTGGATTCGAAAAACAAAGCGCGCAAGCGCGCTTTATTAATAAGCAGTGCGCTTATAACCAGTAATAAACGAAACTAACCAGAAATAAGCAAACTAACCCAAACTAACCCGTCCACCTAATGCGTACTAGTCCTTGTATGTTAATGCTGGATTCGAAAAACAAAGCGCGCAAGCGCGCTTTATTAATAATCAGTACACTTATAACCAGTAATAAACGAAAATAACCAGAAATAAGCAAACTAACCCAAACTAACCCGTCCACCTAATGCGTACTAGTCCTTGTATGTTAATGCTGGATTCGAAAAACAAAGCGCGCAAGCGCGCTTTATTAATAATCAGTGCGCTTATAACCAGTAATAAACGAAACTAACCAGAAATAAGCAAACTAACCCAAACTAACCCGTCCACCTAATGCGTACTAGTCCTTGTATGTTAATACTGGATTCGAAAAACAAAGCGCGCAAGCGCGCTTTATTAATAACCAGTGCGCTTATAATCAGTAATAAACGAAACTAACCAGAAATAAGCAAACTAACCCAAACTAACCCGTCCACCTAATGCGTACTAGTCCTTGTATGTTAATGCTGGATTCGAAAAACAAAGCGCGCAAGGGCGCTTTATTAATAACCAGTACACTTATCACTGGCGCCGACTACATGGGGGCATCGGGGCATCGGGGCATCGGGGCATCGGGGCATCGGGGCATCGGGGCATCGGGGCATCGGGGCATCGGGGCATCGGGGCATCGGGGCATCGGGGCATCGGGGCATCGGGGCATCGGGGCATCGGGGCATCGGGGCATCGGGGCATCGGGGCATCGGGGCTTCGGGGCATCGGGGCATCGGGGCATCGGGGCAAGTGCACCCATGAGTAACCTCTCATGGGTGCGGAGCACCCATGGGAGCTCTCGTGGGAAATACGGACACTTTGTGACAAACCTTTACCTACTAAACAATTAGGTAGGTACTATCCAGGATTTGTTTTCTTTTTAGTTTTTTTTTTTAACCAAATCCTGAATCCTGATTATCATTTTATTTGTCTGCTATTCAAGGTATCGACACAAGCTGATGTGAAGGATAGTAAATGGCTTAGATCCATACACCATTTATGTAGAGAGACTTTTTGGTTTTTTTAATATGGATTTCGTAAGATTTTTTCTCCTTTGCTACAATCCATGAAGCCCTCACAAAGTACAGACAAATAATTTTTCTCCGTTAAAAACCTGTCTTTTATCTCTGGAGGAATGGCATGAAAATAGACTTTCTCGCGATTAGAACGGCTCCCACAACTAACTACAATACATAACGTGTGCATTTTCCAAAAAATCAACACTTTACAGACTTTATAAAAATCAAAAATTGCAATAAAACGGCATTTTTTTAAATAAAAAGGCATTGACCTCCATTTTGAATTACTATTTGACAGGTCGTTGGATTGCCCTATTGTTCCGCCGCGACGGCATAATTTCTTTCAGTTTTAAAGTTTTAACCTCAATCAATCGAAAAAAAAACAATAAAATTTCATTTTATATGATCACATAATATTCATAAAACGTTGAAAATTTTTAAAAAAATAATAATTGGAAAGAAAATTACACCTATATTATAGAATTGGTTGTTCAAAATATCCCAAATAACAAAGAGTAATGAGATTGATGCGAAACTTTTTTTTTGAATGTAAGTGATATTTATTGAAATATTTAAATAATCCTCACTTTTTTGGAAAGATAATAAAAAAACAAATCGATTAATACCAAAATTTTTGAAAAAAAATCATTTTTGAGGAATTACCTTATCTCAACCATCACCATGCAAAGAATTAATTTGTTGTTTTTTCGTAGATAGGCATGATATTTGGTGTAGCTGGAGCATGCAGAAGGGAGGAATTATGTAATTTGACTTTACAAGACATAGATAATCAGGAAACGTTCATTTTTGTTAAAATACCCAATACAAAAACCAATATTCAAAGGAGTTTCACCATCACTGGTAAAGAAGACCAGCGAGTGGATTATTTGGAGATTTGTAGGAAATATATCGAACTACGACAAAAAACCGCAAAATCAAACAAGTTATTCTTAAAAATTCGAAACGGCTTTTGCACTAATCAAGTTGTAGGAAAGAATACCATAGGAAAATGGCCAGCACAAATTGCCACATTTTTAAATTTGCAAAATCCTTCTCAATACACTGGACATGCTTTTCGCAGAACTTCTGCGACGCTTCTTGCAAATAGCGGCGTAGAAGTATTAGCTCTCAAAAGACATGGAGGTTGGAAATCCTCGACGGTTGCCGAGGGTTATATCGAGGACTCCATAGAGAGCAAATTGAAATTCGCAGACCAAATTTTACACCAAACTCCTTCAACAAGTGGTAAGACTTCGATCCAAACAACATCCAGACAACTAAACGATGAACCTCATCCTGTTTCTCTGATAAATGATACAGAAAATACGGTTGTTCTTGATAAGCACATAAGAAAAGGAGGTGTTGTGATAGATAATTCACATAACTGTATATTTAATTTGTATGTTAACAAAAAATTATAATATTTAAATTCTATTAATATTAAACCTATGTACTATAGTTGTTGAGGTGCATAATAAATTATAATTCTTGTTTTATTTCTATTTCCATAGTTGACAACACGGATTAAATTGAACTAGTGGCCTCCACCAATATTCGAGAGTGTTTGATGACACGAAAATAGCGGGCGGTAAGTTCAACTTACCGCCCGCTCGTGCATAAAAGATATTTCCGGCAGCATTCGCTCTCAGGCAGGAATACCGTTTAATAGATGCACATAATACTATATATTGATAATAGTGTCGAAACATAACTGGATCGGGGTAGGAAAAATGCAGTCGTCTCCCTAAGTGGAAATGTTCACTTCTACAGTTTTCCTAGTTGGCCCCATGATCAGGAAAGACGTAAAAAATGGATTAAAGCTGTCGGAAGAAAAATGTAAGTTCCTACTTACTTCTATCAACATTAATCTTCACACCTATTCATAGGAACTACACACTGAGTTTTCATATTGATTTGGTTACTTTACTCTTTATCGTTTTAAGATCCAATTCAAAAGGAAGTAAAATGTGGGAGCCAGAAAGACACTCGAGGATTTGTAGCGTTTATTTTATTGTTATATCTACCTGTAGCTCAACAGCATAAGGAGAGCTGTTTATGGAGGTTTAACGCATAACATGCCCTTTCAAAATGGATAAGTCCCCTCCAACCTCCAACTTTTCGTTCAACTACTTGCAATACATGTTCAGCTTTCACTAGAGCCACACCTTTTTTGTATGAAGCTTCGTGGTGATTAAATTTTATATTTTGGAAACCAAAATGTATTTCCAGCTCCATTTTTCGAATGATTTTTCGAAATTCTAGTGAAAATTTGTCAAAATATTAATACAAAAACTTTTGACATCTCTCACTAGGGATCGCGGATTTAAATTTGTGACCGGTTCCTATGACATCGAACTGTCGAAGACGTCATAAGAACTTGAAAAATAAAAGGGAAATGTCATTGTTAAGAACCGACGAACGTTTTTGACGTCATTGATTTGTTTCGGTCAATTTCTATTTGTTAAAAGAGTCTTTTAACAAAAAAAGAGGAAGGCAAATTATGTCAAAAATATAAATCATCGTGAAATAAAGTGTACCTGCCACAAAATTGCGGCGTTTTCAATATGAATATAATAGGATTTCAAAGAGCCAATAAAACTAAGACGGCAACTATTGTCGCCACTCGCAACTGTGGTTGTGGTTTATAGAGTCACTGTAGTTATGCGATAGGATAAAACATAAAACCAAAATCGTCCAAAACATTTGCTCTAGCGCCATCTCTTATCATTGTAATACACAATGAACAAAAAATCTGCTAAGTTGGCAACACTGTCCTTGAGAGTAATTTACAGTTTTCTAGTTAGTGCAACAAGTGGATCAATAAATGAACACAAGTGACACACCGATTTATCTTTTCTATTTTCTTCAATGCCCGACATCTATTTGCAGCGTCAAAATTATGTTCCAATCTCAATATTATTTTGGAATAAAAAGAAAATATATGATTCAAAGATTAGATTTAAATATATGTAGTCATATTCAAATCACTTTGATATTATTTATGTTTTATACATATAATGATTTAAGAAGAAAAATCGATTATCAATTTTTGTATTTTTCAATCTTACTATGAAATCTGCAAGTTTTACAGAAAACTGCCTGATTAAGTTGTCAAATCAAATAATTGTCATTCTGAACAGCAACAGCTGACAATTTTTAAGCAATTTTTAACGGTTTTTTTGTCGAGCTGGTTTTCAAGGGTTCTCCAAACAAAACAAAAGTCAAAAAGAAAAGGAAACGTTTTTTAGTTCTTGAAAAATTATTCCTTTAGTCATACTACATAATTATATAATTTTACTGAGCTTGGAATATTTCAAATGTAATTGCATGCAATAGGAATTTCTGTTGAAATAAGAACCTTCATTCCAGGACAATGAATAACGATAAGGCGGTTACAGTCACAGAACAGACAGAGCAAGCCATTCGAAACCTCAACATGTTTCTGGGAGAAAACGGGTAAGGATTTTGATATTTTTTATCTAGAAGCTAAACCTCGAGCGAAACACTTAATTAAATTCACGTGATATTGAAAATGACGTCCCCTTTGTATATTAGGCGAATATTGTTGAAGGAAAACCCAGGCCCAACTGCTCATCAATGGAACTTCCAAAAGAAACTGCACTTAGGCCGTGACTTGTGCAGTATGTGCTTTTAACAACCATATTGCACGTGTCCCGGCCTGAATGCCTTTTCATAGAATAGGAAACAACGTCCAACCATCTGAAATGATTATTTAACTTTCAACCCACCGTTATCGAATTTCAGACTACTTTTCACTTATTTTATTTTGTACCAGGTATCAAGGTATAAAGTACCACTCCCTGTAACTTTTTTATGTACAAAAATAAAGAAGTTACAGGGGGTGGTTCTATACAGGATGAGTTTGGTCCATATCTCTTATACTAACGGAGATCGAATAAAAAACTAAATACAAAACTTGTAGATAATAGTTATTTAAACAACAAGTTTTGAAAACAACTTTTTTCGGACGGCGAGACAGTTTGTTGGAACAAGCCGTAGGCGAGTTCCACAAGTCGAGCGAGTGTGAAAAAAGGTTTTCAAACAAGTTTTTTACAATGCTTTTCCTACAACTGCAAAATAGAACAACCAAATATATAATTTTTATTTGTTAGAAAAGAAATCATCAACATCAGAAATTGGTGACAATCGTAATTTATGTTGTCATGTCAGGATGACAAGACCAAAATAAATGGAAAAAGTAATTAGTATACAGGGTGGCCCAATAAGTAGTGTTGATACAAAGTTATGTTTTCTTAAATGACTCTCCCTGTATATTATGACATTTATGGATTCTGTGGAAAATTCTAGACATATTTCATGTACAGGGTGGGCCAATTTGGACACTTCCTTATGGAAACACCCTTTATTTTTAGAGATAGAAAAAAATGAACCCCCCACTCTGAGGCTCAAATTTCATGAAATTTTGATTGGTGCAAACCGCTTTTTGATATCTTCAACCGTTTAGCCGCTAGAGGGCGATTCTCGATTTTGAGCAATATTGTGAACCCTTCATAACTTTTTTGTTTATGAAAATAATTGATTTCCGTGAAAACTTTCTGGAAGCACTTTTTAAAACAGAATTCAGGGACGTTCTCAGTTTTTTTCTATTTGGCGCCGATTTTGAGATATTGACCTAAGTCTGATTTTTTTCAATGGGACACCCTTTATATTAATAGCTCATTGCAAATCTATGATTTTTCTGATTTTAATGATATAAAGTTCGATAGGGGTATCTCTAACCGTTTTCGAGAAAAAAAATAATTTCGGGTTTTCTCATAAGAAGCAATGTGTTAGAAAAGGACTTTATATCTATAAGGAAAATGAAAAAGGTCTCTTTCTAATACATTGTTTCTTATGACAAAAACCAAAATATTTTTTTTCTCGAAAACGGTTAGTGATAAATCTATCGAACTTTATATCATTAAAATCAGAAAAATCATAGCTCTACAATGGGCTATTAATATGAAGGGTGTCCCATTGAAAAAAATCAGACTTTAGTCAATATCCCAAAATCGGCGCCAAATAGAGAAAAACTGAGAACGTCCCTGAATTCTGTTTTAAAAAGTGCTTCCAGAAAGTTTTCACGGAAATCAATTATTTTCATAAACAAAAAAGTTATGGAGGGTTCACAATATTGCTCAAAATCGAGAATCGCCCTCTAGCGGCTAAACGGTTGAAGATATCAAAAAGCGGTTTGCACCAATCAAAATTTCATGAAATTTGAGCCTCAGAGTGGGGGGTTCATTTTTTTCTATCTCTAAAAATAAAGGGTGTTTCCATAAGGAAGTGTCCAAATTGGCCCACCCTGTACAATGTCATATACCTATCTTCGACTTTTTGGGAAATATTGACAGTTCAAAATTGATTTTTTTGCATCTTGGACAGACTGTTAAACCTAAACGGTTGATTTTACAGCAAAACCGATTTTACATTCTCATCCTAGATTTTCATAAGCTATCATTTTTTGACACCAACTTTGAATTTAACCAGAGATTAATAATTTAAGCGGAATTTTTAATCATGGATTAAATTCAAAGTTGGTGTCAAATGATAGTTTATGAAAAACTAAGATGATAATATATGATTGGTTTTGCTGTAAAATTAACCGTTCAGGTTTTACAGTCTGTCAAAGATGCAAAAAAGTCAATTTTCCCCTGTCAATATTTCTGAAACAGTTGAAGATAGGTCTATGACATTGTACATGAAATACATCTAGAACTTTCCGCAGTATCCGGAAATGTCATAATATACAGGGGAAATCGTTTAAAAAAATATAACTTTGTGTCACCACTACTTATTGGGCCACCCTGTATACTGGAAAATAATTTAGGAATGTAGTACTCATGCTTATCTACAAGTTTTGTATTTAGTTTTTCCTTCGATCACCATTAGTATAGGAGATATGGACTAACGTGCGCTTAGTAACTCACCCTATATATTGCCTGTACCATTTTTATGTTTGGCCATGAACTTTCATGTAGGTACTTGTACTTAGATAAGTTTCTAACTTTCTACTAATTTGTCGACAGACTATCAACTACACTACAGTATTGCTACAACTATTAAGGACTATTCACACACATCAGTTCCGTATCAGTGCCGCGTCAGTTCAGTATCAGTGCCATCCGTGCTTCATCAGTGGTGACCATTCACACACATCCGTCTGTAGTCCGTACCATGCTCTCATTGCTCTCAGTGAACTGTCAGAATTCAGGGATCAAACGCAAATTCCAATCGATTTCCGTCAGTGAAATACACAAAATATCGTTGCCGACTTTAATAAAAAACACAGAACTGACACTGACGCAGCACTGATGGTAAAAAACGTCACTGCGCCGGACTTGTCTAAACAGGCTCATTTGAAGACTAGGCAACGATATTTTGTTTTTCACTGCCACTGATACTGAACTGAAACGGCACTGATAGGGAACTGATGTGTGTGAATAGTCCTTTATACTCTCAAGATAATTAATTGACTATAACTCAAGATTTTATTAAAGTACTAGCTGACCCGGCTAACTTCGTACCTCCTTTGAATTATTAAATACCTATTAAATGTTGTGTTAACGTATCTATTAACTGAATTAAATTCAGTTTTTTTCGATGGTGAATGTGGCTTTGGTTGAAGAAAATTAATTTTTACTCTCTGGATCAGAAGTCACCTAAAATTAAAATTTTACATCATCCCTTTTTATGCATCTTGTGGGCATTATTCTTATAAAGTGTACCACCAAATAAATAAACTCAGGCACAGGAATGTTCAAAAAATGTAAAGAAAACAAAAAAAAATCTCCAGCGCAGCCCTGTTTCATTTTATCTGCACTGCAATACTGCATCTGTTCTACTGTATCTGCACTATTCTATCTGATCTACTCTTTCTGCACCACTTTATCTGATCGGAATAGTGGAATAGTTCTGTTCGGAATACCTCCAGTTCCTTAGCAGTATTCTGTTCTACTGTATCTGCAATGAAATTACCGCGCAACGGCGAGCTTCGTTCTAGGTACCTATCATATATGGCGCCGTATACAAAATGGTTGTGGCGGACTCATAACCTGGCTCTCTGACACCAGCCGGACAGAGCACGGAGCACTCCGAACAGTCGGCACGGAACACGGCTGTCAAGGGATGCCTAAAGCCTAGTACTCATAACTGCGAAATTCGCATTTTTTTGACATTGCGTTGACAATTTGACGTTTTATGCGTGTATCAAACGTCAATTTGTCGAAGCATTGTCAAAAAAATGCGAATTTCGCAGTTATGAGTACTAGGCTTAAGAGGAGAAACGGAACTTAGCCACAGAACGTCAATGGTCAAGCGTCAAGAAATGACAGGGAGACCAGTTCGCGCTCTTTCGGAATGAACGAACCAACAACAAAATAAAATACACAATCAAAACATTGTCATTCTATTTATTTTTGGACATTTTTACTGTGAAGAACAATTAAAAATAAAGTGCTTTCCTCAAATTGTTTTTGTGCAAAGTGTGTGACAATAAAATCCACATGGTTTGCAATGAAAATGTGACGGTAAACTTAGTATCGGTTATAAGAGATGGCGCCGTGTGCGGGCTTAGTGAGTTTTTTTTTTCATAAATAAGTAAAATAGATATATATTTTTTTTTTTTGTTTTTTTTTTTTGGTTTTTTGGACTCATTATGTTAGGATGGACAAAGACAAATCCAATAAAGCAAAAATCATAAAAATCAGTCCAGCCGTTCTCGAGTTATAAGTGCTGACACACCAACACAGCTGTGTTTTATATACCTATATAGATTTAAAAAAAATTCCATGTTTCCATATACCGGGTGACTAGGAAATTACTTACCAAGCTATCTTAGGCATGGAAATCGATATTGATTAAACATTTTGGAGATGTTTATTAGCCATATCGATGCAGAATTTCGGCATAAAACCAATTTGCTAAGTGCCTTCCCATAAACTTCTTTATTGCAAATGGATTGCCCGCTATGTTAATACATTTTCCTACGAGCGTGCGCAAAGTAGTACTTTTCCGCACGCATTTCCGGGCTCAAAGTTACACTTTTCCGCACTCAGTGCGGATACAGGCCTTATCCGCACTGAGTGCCGAAAAGTAATTATAATTGTCAAGCAACAATAAGTGCAACCGTCGACTTTGACACATGATGACAAATTTTTCCTCTGTTTCTATATCAGCCAACATCTATACAAACACCAAATATAAATTAACTTTGACACATTCTCATCAAATTTAGACGCTTTAAGATGAACAGCTCTGACGAGGATTTTCTGTTATTTTTTTTTTTTTGTTATGTAATTTTTTGATAAATGCATAGGTTCCCTTCAAGTTAATTAAAAATAATTAAACAAATTATCGTTTTTTTTTTTTAAATTTTTGTTATTACCTACCTGATATGAAGCTCGTAGGAAAAATTTTGTTCCTAACACGTGCGC